ATACGTAAAGAATTTTTGAAACACAGAATAATTTGCAGCAATACTAGTGGCATAAATTAATTTTTTAGCTAAAAAATTAAATAATGATTAACAAGATATTTAATATTTTTAATTAAAGCTGTATTGAGCGCAAATAGTTTCGCAATACATATTAAAAAAATATTTTTATATAAAGGATGTATAGAATATTATCAATCTTTGTTTAAATATAAATCATTTAAAAGTATAATGAAAATTGAGACATAATATACCGTTAAAATATCAAAAATATTTCAAATACGCGAATAATTATCATTGTAATTACGTTTAAAAAAATCGTGCAAGTACTTAATACAGGATTAAATTAGAGTCAGAAATGCTACAAAGCAAAGCACGAAATGTACAACGATACCCGTTTGTCAAAATCATGTAAGGTAAGAATAATTGAATAAATCGTGAATATTTTTTATGCGCAATAATTGAGTGTCCGAACGGCGCGCGGCGAACAGCGAGAAGTGGGGGAGGCACGCTCCCCCTCGCTTTTCGCCGCGCGGCGACTACGTCATCACTTCGGCATTCGCTCGGCGACCTCGGAGCGAAATGGACGTGTAGCATAGGTCGTTCCGCGTGTCGCATTAATCCACGAAAATTAAATACATATCTACGAATTGATAGTCATAATTTACCGTGAACATGTCGAAGCGACTGCCGTTCGTCGAAGGTATATTATAATTATATTATCACATGCTCGAAATAGGCGCCCTGATAAAAATCAGAACGTAATGGGAGAGTAACAGAAGCGTAAACGAAACTTGTAGCAAGCGAGAATTAAAACATCAAAATGTAAAAGAAGCGTAAATGTTTCTTTTACATTTTATTGTTCCAATTTTCGCCTTCTTCTCAAGAAATTTTGTTCACGCTTCTGTTATTTTTCCATTACATCCGATTTACGCTACGATTTTTATTTTCATCAGGGCGTCGAAATATAATATATGATGAGTTTAGAAATTACAAATTGTCACTTTTAGACTGATACTTAATAATGTTCTCTTTAATAATGATCATGAGTCGATGGCTTTGCATATCACTTTCTATTTTTGAATCGAAAGCATGCGATGCATAAATTTAGATTTATTCAATTACTGAATTACGATTCGAAAGTAACGAAAAACTAAAATGCGTTAATCTTTTCTTAAAAATATCTGCGTACATTGCGCAGATATCATACAAAAAATGATTACAAACTAATCGCTTACACAATTTTAAATATCTAAGATATAGAAGAGTTGTATGATGCGAATCCAAGAAATAAAGCAAAGATCGTGCAATAAAGCCTATTCGAAGAATCTTAAAAATGTAACAAATAGATTATTTTATTGATTTTGTAATACGCATTACTATTGAAGTTAATATTTCGACAGTTAGGTGATCGGTGCATGACCTTTAAGATTGTTTTGGCACGAAAGGCGAGCGATCGGGCCACTTTATGCCAATTACTGCGCAGTCATTCCGTTATCGAGGCTCGTATAGGTAAGTAGCCGTGTCGCGTGCCGCTCTTCACATTTCTTTTTGAAACATAATCGCGATAAATGCTAGATAATATGAAACATTGTACTTTACTGAATACTAAAAGTATACAATTACTAGCTCGCATCATTAATTATTCATAAAAGAATCGAGATAACAATCATATATCACGGAACAGATATTTCGTATGGTTAGAAATTCAGTTCTTTTATCTACTCTGAATTTATTTCGTAATAGTGACGAATTGATAACTTGATATTTATTTCTAAAAGTCAACCGACAATTGCACAATAATATAGATAACAGTTATATATTACATTTTTCAGACGATATTTTCCCTCTCACCTTGATGAGAGGGCTCAATACCCGGAAAATATATACGAAAAGAATGGTTTTTTCAAGTATCTAAAATAAAATTTTCAGCTCTATCTAAATGATACATCTAGATAAATTTTTAGATACTGAGCAAAATCGTTCTCTTCGTGTAAAAATCCATGTGGAAGCTAACGTACCTTCGTCGCCGATTTACTTGAAAATGAACGAACCGCAGCCGGTTCATCGCGTCGCGCGTTTACTTCGGGAATGCCGCTCAAGTTATCGGACTCAAGTTATAGTCCGTGCGCGATTATAATGTATTATTTGCGAGTGTCCTGTGCGAGAGGATCAACTCAATTCTGAGAGGAGGAGGAGGAGGTTTGGAACATCGAGCACCGAGGGAGCAACCTTGCGGTAAATATCATATTTTTATATCATATTTTATCATGAAATCAATATTTTTCTTCTGTTCATTTTTTAGTCGTTTTGTTTTAGAATTCTTATTATCATTTAAAAATGATAATAAGAAAAGAAGATTACGTTTAAATTATTTTGAAATTTTATAAATGTATTTTTAAGATCTTTTTGAGAAAATGTATAATTATTTTTATAAATCCCGGAAAAACTATTTTATATATTATATAAAATTATATAAAAATAT